GGAGGGTGGAGGGAAGGTGGGGTAGAAAGGGGGAACCGATTACAAGGATCTACATATAACCGCCTCCCGGGGGAACGGACAACAGAAAAGTGGGTGAAGTGAGACGCTGGACTGTGTAAGATATGACATAAAATAATTTATGAATTAGGAAGGGTTCATGAGAGAGGGAGTAGTGGGGGGAGGAGAAAACGAGGAGCTGATATTAAGGGCTCAAGAAGAAAGTAAATGTTTTGGGAATGATGATGGCAACAACTGTACAAATGTGCTTGACACAATGGATGGATGGATGGTGATAAGAATTGTACGAGCCCCCAATAAAATGACTTTAAAAAAAGAGAGGCACAGGAAAACCACTGAGGCAGCAGAAAGATTGTGGTCATGAACATAATCTCATGTCAATTTGAAGATATATAAAACTGTAGGGGTAATATTCAATCTGTCAATCAGGTCAGTCTGATGATACCTCCTCATGGGTGTGGCCTTCTCATAAATAGGATCCTGGGAACCTTTCCCACCCACCCCCTCTGACTTCCCCTTCCTGCTGGTGAGACACTCTGAGAACTGCCAGCTCTGTGATGCTTCCACAGCCATTGGATCCACAAGACTTTGCACCCCACCAGCCTGAGATCTTCCTCCTTTTGCCTCATTGAATGTGACTGTGTTAATCTGGAAAGGGACCTATGGACTAGTTTTGGACTTAGGGACTTCAAGTTGGACTGGGCTGGGCTCTTTTCTTGACATATAATTACTTCTTGATATAAAGCTCTTTCTTATACATATATGAGTGTCTCTGGATTTGTTTCTCTACTCAATCTGGCCTAACACAAAGATAAACAAGTTCCTAAAAACCAAAGCAATAAATTTACCTTGAAAACTGCTTGGCACAGCGAAACAAAATGTGGTAGTCTTGTGGCATGCCTATAGTGGTTCGTGGCTTGCTACTTGCACTAACATAATCCACAGGGTCTTCAATAGCTGATTTATTTGTAAGTAGTTTGCCAGGCTTAGCTCATCATAGTTTGAAAATTTTCCTGAAACCTGTTCAACATTATGGTAGCATGTAAGCCCCCACCGTCAGACAAATGGTGACCGCACTTGAGATGTGCTGAATGGGAATTGAACCTGGTTCTCCTGCATACATGGTAAAAACTATACCACTGACCCACCACCACCACTTACGATGTTAGATGGACATTATATACTGTAGAATTCTATCCTATACCCTGGAAGCCTGTGGAGGAAGGATTCTTGGCATCTAGCTATAACCCTATGTTAGGGAAATTCAGAAAGTATTTGTGAATTTAAGATAAACCAGCCAAGTCCAATGATTCATCTGTCCCAGGTGCGTAATGAGACGAAACTGATTTATTGCAGGTCATTTATTGCAGAGCAGACCCCACCCACCCCAATGCCATACTCCTCTTCTGAATTCTATTAGTCAATCTTTTCACTTGGAGATTTTTAATAATATTTATTTCAAAGTGAGGTCTTGAGAAATGATGCACCTGCACTCTGAAGTATGTTATTGTTGTTTAAAAAACAAAACTTTGCAAACTGCTCCATGCGGGGTATTCTGCACCCATCACGGGACATTTTCAAGTGCATCCAAACACCCAGTGTGTCCACAATTCCCTTCTCCCCCATAATCCTCAAGATTATGGGTAATAAAACTCTAGGAATTCTATATCCCCAAATATTCAGTAATTCTGTATCTGATCCCGAGTTCTTCAAATTCCAAATGGAGCTTACTCTCACCTTGACCACAAATTCTATGAGACAGAGAAGTCAGGTAACTTTACATCTCCTTGTTTAGTATTTTATTGATTTTTTGTTATAAAATCTCTACTCTAGAAAATACTGAACAAAATGAAAATATATCAGCAGGGGGTCGGGTTGGGTGGAGAATCACTGGCAAGGCAGCATAATGTGGAGATTAAAAAATGAATTCTGGAGCCAAACTGAATCCCAGTTCTATTTATTACCTATGTGTTCCTTCACATGTCTGCTTCTGGCTCCCCATTCATAAAATTGAGATAGTATTAGTACTTATCTCATAGGGTTAAGGGGATAAATGAGTTAGTGTTTGTAATGCATTTAAAACAATGCCTGTCACATGGTGTTATCTGATTGTACAACTATAAAATAAAAATTAACTGAGTTAATTTCTCCATGGGCCTTTCCAGTGCTGACACATGTACAGTTTTTAGATTTGTTATAGTAGATACATATATACACCTGTGTCCTTCTTATTCCTTCATGTAATGATCATTGATGCAGTGACAACTGTAATTTATAGTGACTGCCTAAGACAAATTACAAACTATTTGCCCAACAAGGCAGATATGAACAAACAATAGACACATACTCTAGCTTATTAAGGACCACTTTCTGTCCAACAACACAATCAAAATCTTATGTGTCCTGGCAATAATCTTTCCACCATTAGTAATCTCACTATTTTTTTTCCTAAAGGGGTTAATTTTGAACAACCATAAATAGGTCATCCAACTTCACTAAATTCAAATGTAGTATGTTTGATACCCTACTCCTTAAAGGACACCAGACCCTCCTCTTATAATGGCAAATTCTGCCTATCCTTCTGTGATTATGTACAAATTATCAATGTAAAGATGTATACCCATTCTACTAGCTTGATGCAAAATGGTGCATTTCCAGTTGAAATACTATTCCTGACATAAGATGTGTTCCTTAACAATGCACACGGAACCAGAAATAGGTGAGAGCGCTTTCTCAAAAATGCCTCATTCCCTAGTCATGTTTCTGAACTTGGATACCTTGTGGACAATACAAAGTGTTTACCTCCTTCTATTAATAAGGATAGCTCACCCTTATCCTTTTCATTAATAGAATTTCTCCTAAGAAGATACTTTGTTGACTGAAAAAAAAATTCCCCTCTTGAATTTATTTATAGGGTATTATTCCCCAAATGTTCTATCAGAGGTAAGAAGGAGGAAAAAAAGCTATCAATTCAATTTGCACAGTTTCTCTTCACTGTGATTTCTCTGATGTTGAGTTAGTGCTGACCGCCCATTAAAGGCTTTTCCACACTCATTGCATAGCAAGCCTTTCTCTCCACTGTGCATTCTCTGATGGATAATAAGGGAAGAATTCTTACAGAAAGCTTTCTCACAATGATTACATTTGTAAGGTTTTTCTCCTGTATGATTTCTCAAATGTACAATAAGTGAAGAACTCTCATTGAATGCTTTCCCACATTCGTTACACCTGTATGGTTTTTCTCCCGTATGAGTTCTCCGGTGTGCAATAAGGTGAGAGCTACAATTAAAGGATCGCTCACACTGATTACATTTATAGGGCTTTTCACCAGTGTGGATTCTCCGGTGAGCAACAAGGTGACAGCTCTGGCTAAAAGATTTCCCACATTTATTGCACTCATAGGGCTTCTCTCCAGTGTGTGTCCTTTGATGTCTAACGAGGTGAGCCATCTGGCTGCAGCATTTTCCACATTTATTACATTCGTAGGGCTTAATTCCAGAATGAATGATCTCGTGTTTTGTGAGGGCTGAACGTTCTCTGAACGCTTTGCCACATTCCTGACAGTTATATGGTTTCTCTCCTGTATGAGTTCTCTGATGGGCAATAAGATGGGAGCTCCAACTGAAGGATTTTCCACATTCTGTGCATTTATATGGTTTTGCTCCAGAATGCGTTCTCTCATGTTTGCTGAGGGCAGAGTAATCTCTAAACGCTTTTTCACATTCATCACATTTAAAGGGCTTCTCTCCAGTATGCATTCGCATATGGGCAATAAGATGGGAACTCCAGCTGAAAGATTTCCCACATTCAGAACATTCAAAAGGCTTCTCTCCAGTATGAGTCCTCTGATGTCCAATGAGATGGGAGTTCCAGTTGAAAGATTTCCCACATTCATTGCATACATAAGGTTTTTCTCCTGTATGAATTCTCTTATGTACAATAAGATGAGAGTTCCAGCTAAAGGCTTTTCCGCATTTATTACATTCATAGGGTTTTATTCCAGTGTGAGTCCGCTCATGTTTAGTAAGGGCTGAACGATTCCTAAAAACTTTCCCACATTTATCACATTCGTAGGGCTTCTCTCCAGCATGAGTATTCTTATGTTGGATAAGATAAGAGCTCCAGATGAAAGATGTCCCACATTCATTATATTCATAAGGTTTCTCTGCAGTGTAAGTGCTTGTATGCTGAGTAAGGAATGAATCATACCCAAAGACTTTCTCCCATTCATTGTACTTATATGCTTTCTCTACAGTATTAGTTTTTTGATGTCCCATAATAGATGAGAAGTAAAAGATATTCTCATATTCTTTATAATCACATTGGTTGTCTCCAACATTAAGTCTTAACTGGTGATTAAACGATGGACTCTGGTTAAAAATTTGATGGCATTCCTTATATTCATAGAGCTTTTCTCCTGTATGAATTCTCTTATGATCACCGAAATGTATTATTTGATTGAAAGATTTAACAGCATCAGTGCATTTGAAAAGATTATCTCCAGGTTGCTTTCTTGGAGGGTGAACAGGCTGAATGGATTTGTAGAAGGTCTTGCTATAATCGTTATTTTCATAGGTAATCTTATCTGCGTACATTATGGCTGAATTATATCTCCAACTTTCGGACTGTGTATTAGGTTTATAGAAATGTTCTATTTGAGAAACTCTCTGAGATGGAAAAATGTTTAAGCTCTGGCTGTAGTTGGACCCAAGTTCATAGAAGTCAGGGCCTGTTTGTGAAAGTACTTCCTTTTGCATAAAGACCATTTGCGTCCTTGCTCTGCTTTGGTTCATGTGGTACATTTCTAATTGATCTCCACATCCCAAGATTTCTACCCTGGAGAAACAAGGATCATCCCATATGTATCTTTCCAACTTCATGCTATGGGATTGTTCTTCCACAAAAATGCTCTGTGTTGGGATCAAAGCTGTTCTTTCAATACTTCTCATCCATTCTGAAATAAACAAGAATAATTTTTTAAAGCCATAGTAACATAGAAAAATAAATCTTAAGGAAAGAGCAGGAACGGTGAGATCTACTGTACACAATGATCAATTGTCAAGTGTGATTGTTTTTCCCAAATACAAACTTGTAACCCAGGAAAATATCATAAACGTGAAGAAGAGAGTAATGAATAAGGAACAAATAAGTATAAAAATTGTATACTGAAAATTGATAAACCCAGTTAGGAAGATTTCTTATGAAAAGATGAGGATAGTAAGGTAAGGTGACCAGATTTTAGCATTGGTAAAGCGGGACAAAAGCGGGACACCATTGATAAAACTTATATCCTGGCGAAATAGCCACATGGCAGCTAAAAACCGTATACCCTAGCTTGTCGTGCATTCTTTCCAAAAATTGAGACTTTTTAAAAACACCGCAGGACACAGGAAAAATTGTTAAAAATCGGGACTGTCCCACCAAAAGTGGGACACCTTATAGTAAGGATGTGCAGGAGACAACTCAGATTGGCTGAGCTACTCAAATGGTGCATATTCCAAGTAGACCTGTTTCAGGACTGGAACGTGGCCAGCTCCAGGGAAATGAGGGCTTGGAATGTCCTAAAGGAGAAAATGTTTTGCATGCTGAGGATATGAAACATAATCCTTTCTCTGAACAGTTTGTGCAAATAATATCATTTATGGTGGACACCTTTCATTCTGGGTGGAATCTGGTGACTGAACTCATTCACACAGGCACCATGTACTTTCCTGACTAACTCCCAAGCTCAGGTGAGTGTCCCTGGCAGAGTACACTACCCACCTATGATCACAACTCATTGGTGGGGAAATTAATTATATCCCATGGATGCCACTGGGAAAGGGCTCTAGGAAACTTGTATCTAGTGTCCTCTGAAACTAGGCCCCCTGTGCTTTTCCCCCTCTGTTAATGTTGCTTTATATCCATTCACTATGATAAACTGTAATTGTAATGATAAAGATTTCAGTCTTGTGATTTCTTCCAGGAAATCACTAAATTTGGGATGGTCTTGGGAACTCCTGATACAAAGAAAACATTGAATGCTATTAGGTTGTTTTTGTTTTTTAAGTTCCTGGTAACAAAAAGTTAAGTGTTCAACTACTAGACAGAAGGTTTGAATATACCCACAGGCAGGTCTGGTGGTCTCTTTCTGATGGGTCACAGCTTTGAAAGCCCTAAGGGGGACAGTTCTACTCTGAATATGTGAGGTCACCGTGAGTCAGAAGTGAGTTGATGACAATTGACAATAGCAATAAGGTAGAAAATGACAATAACAACTTGTTTTACAAAGGGAGATGAACTCACAAGTCCTTAGCAACCAATGTTTAAATTATTAAGTAGAATCCTAATTCATTTCCATATAATGATACCCTTTCTGCTCCCGTATCTTGCCAGCACTTTCACCTACCAAGGCATTATCTATGAAAGTATGAGATTCCATAGAGTCCAAAACATGAAAGAAATTTCATCACCTCAAAGGGCAACATCATCATCTTTTAAAGATCTCAAAGTTACAGTACTTTCACCCAGTACAGAAAAAAAAACTTTTTTTTTGTTGAAGGATACTATCAGTGACTTGAAAGAGAGCATATTGTGATGAAACAGATAATCAGTACTTAAATAATGGCTCCGCCACTATCCTTACAAGACTTATCTGATGATTAAGTCAGATTATAAATGCAGTGAAATGCCTATCAAATGGCAGGCTTTCAATATATGGGAGCTACTATCGTTGTAGTTGAAGTATGCAGTCCTCTAACAACTAGAGGGGTCTGTATTTGTTCCCTAACGCTGCTGTAACAAATCACCAAACACTATGTGGCTTCAAACCATACAAATTTATTATCTTTCAGCTCAAAAGACAAGAGTCTTGCTCCAGAACCAACAGAGATAGCCTTTCCTGAAAGTGGTACCCTGAATCCACACTTCTAGCCTTCTACACAGCAAGCAAATCCATTTCTGTTCTCAGTCCTTCACAGAAGAGCCTGAAGGGAGGGAAGCTATACGCAGGGTGCAGTACAGCACTGATGAAACACATAACTATCCTCTAGTCCTTTAACATTTCCTTCCCTTACTAGTATGGTCCCAGGTTCACCTCATTAATCTTGTTAGGCCTGTGTATATTAATTTATATAATAAAAATCACCCAATGCATGAAATCCAAGATAGAAAAAAAAACCCATCAGAAATAGTAATGGGAGCAATGATCCCCTGGGGGTACTGGAAGAAGGGGGAGGGGGAACTGATATGACTATAATCCCACTGGAGGGGAAGGAATAACAGGATTATAGGTAAACGGATACAGTGGATAGTGTAAAACATGGCAAATAAGTAAATGATAACAATAATAATTATTTATAATATAAGAATAAGGGTTCCTGGGGGGCAAGGGGAAGAAGGGGATAAAGAGGAGCTGATAGCAAAGAGTTCAAGAAGAAAGAAAATGATGGTGGCAGTAACTGTACAATTATGCTTGATCTAATTGAATTATGGATTGTTATATTATCTGTTAAGAGCTCCCAATAAAAGATTAAATAAATAAACGCCTGTCTTTTAAAGCCACCAACTACTGTATTTCTGTTACAGCAGCTCAAGGGAATTAAGACAGTCATGTTAGAGAAAAAAGCAGCGGACACTATGAAAGGCAGGAAAGCAGACAGTGTGGAGAACTCCCAACAAACCCCACTATGGCCATTAAGTCAATTCTAACCTCTAGTGATCCGATATAGGGTTCCCAAGAGGGTCGATCTTTTGGGGAGCAGAGAGCCTCATCTTTCTCCCATGGAAGGCCGGAGGGATGGAATACTAACTTTGTAATTAGCAGCCCAACCCTGAACCGGCGGCCCCAGGGCGCTGTCATCAACGAGAAGAGGTTGATACAGGAGGGAAAGATGCAGAGGATGTTCTGCATGTACCTCAGAAAGGCAACCCCTCAAGCCCTTGTGCTGTTTCTCAAGTAAGGAGGTGCTGGGGAAGAATGTCTGCCCACTTGGGGCCACGACCGGCTCTTACCTGGACAAGTGCTTTGAGGATATCCTCTTTCCACAGCCCATGGCTCTTCTCCTTGTTCCAGCAGTGAGATGACTTCAGGCTTGGGGATCTCATTCCCTGAGCATACAGGAAAAATAGAAGTTTGTGTAATAGGGCAGATCAGTCTGATGCCTGCTTCTCCACTGTGACTTTTCACTTGAGCGAAGCCTAGTCCCTCTAATGACATGTTTCACGAGCATTAGAATTTTCACCCTGATTTCCAATACCCAAGACCATTTCAGCCCTCCAGTGGCCTCAAAGGGCTTCTAACCATAGAGGGGCTGAAGGCATTGCAATGGAAACAGCCTCATTGTACATGGGCAGCACCTGCCTTACCCACAGAGATCAAGTGCCCGAAAGTCTCCAGCATCACATCGCGGTACAGGGTCCTCTGAACAGGGTCCAGCTGCCCCCACTCCTCTTGGGAAAAGTCCACAGCCACATCTTTGAAGGTCACTGGTTCCTAAAAGGACACACATGTTCTTCCTCAACCTGGGGCACCTTCTCTACTATTTCCTAGGGATGGACTGAGGCTGATAAGAGAGAAGGGAGATGAGGCTGGTGGTAGAGAAACTGGCCTGATTATGTTCAAAATTCTGACCGGTGCAGGTCAGGTTTCATTAGGACGCACTTAAACTCATATCTAGGAAGCCCTGGTGGTGTAGTGGTTACAGTTGGGCTGCTCACTGCAAGGTTGGCAGTTCAAAATCAACCAGCTGCTCCAAGGAGAAAGATGGGATTTCCTACGCTTGTAGAGTTACAGTCTTGGAAACTCACAGGGGCAGTTCTACCCTGCCCTACAGGGTCACTCTGAGTCGGAACTCACTTGATGGCAGTGAGTTTGAGTTTGGATTTGAGGCCCTTCTCTGGAATGAGCCGTTAGGGAACTACCCCATCCCTCTTGCTATCAATTTGATTCCTGTGAGGGAGAGTAGAGAAACCCCATAGTCTCCAAGGTTGTAAATCTGTACAGAAGCGGACTGCCAGATCTTTCTGCCAAGTAGTGTCTGGGGGGTTTGACCTTTCCATCAGCAACCAACAACTTAGCCACGAAGCTGCCAGGGCTCCCTCAGGTAATTGGGTACCTATCACAACCACTGCAACAAGTTAAACAGGTCTTTCTGCAGACTCTCGCCCAACTTATATTACATCAAATTTGAACAGAACTCCCCCTTTTGGATGGGAAACTCAGACATTTAATAAAGCAAAGGAGTCCTTGGGTGGTGCAAACGGGTAAGCACTCCGCTGCTAGCCCAAAGGTTGATGGTTCAAACCCAGACAGAGGTGCCGTAGAAAAGAAAGCCCTGGTGATCATATTCCAAAAGCCTTGAAAACCTTATGGAGCTATTCTACTACACACACACACACACACACACACACACACACACACACACACCTCGAATCGGCATCAACTGCATGGCAACAACGTCACAGTAAAGCCTTTGTGTGCAGCTCAGAGGTTAGGAGGCTCAGTCGCTCGCCAGAGACTCCGGGAACTTTGATTTGCAACATAAGCATCTAGAGTGTGGAATGGTGTGACTTGAATACTGAATGTCTGTATTCCTGGCAGGAGTTGAGCTGCTTCATACCCATAGCATCTCTGTCCCAAGAGCTGGAGCTGAGGGTGAGATGGGACCATGCACAACATTGGAGGCTCAGGACAATCCGTGACAGTGGCTCTTGGAAGCACTTAAATCCAAAGAGTCCAACTGGGAAGATAGTGGGCAGGAAAGAACCAGGGATAGTCCAACAGCGAAGATGAATTAGAGTGTCAGCCTAATTTCTGCAATGAATGTGCCGCCAACTCACTGTCCTGGTAAGCAATCGGTACCATCCTCATCTACCTGGGCACTCGGCGACAGGAAGGGCTCAACACTTCTCCTGGCGGTAAAGGTGAGCTGTGTGTGGTGGTTGGCCCGACACAAACCCTGCAGCCCACGTCTCAGAGTACGCAGTCCCCTGCACCTCAGTCCTCCTCTCCATCTGGAAACGGCTTTCTGGTCTGCCCTGGTGTCTGTGCAGAATCAGGCCATGAATGCTGCAAGTGCAAAGGGCGTGGTTTCCACTGCCCGGTTGCTCAAGCCCTCTCATGCCCACCTCCAAGTCTACTTCTACCTGTACAAGGTCTCCCGGATGGACTCATTTGCTGTCACTGCTGGTCCTGGCTTGTAAACCCAGCTCACCATCGGATCTGGGTCAACACAAAGCCTTCGCGGCTGGTTATTTGAGGAGCCCTGTTGGCACAAGGGTTAAGCACTTTGACACTAATCAAAAGCTGGGTGGTTGGAACTTACCCAAAGGCTCTATAAGGAGTCCTGAGGCATTAGTGGGTTACAAGTTGGACTGCTAGCTGCAAGGTGAGCAGTTTGAAACCACCAGCGTCTCCTCCTCGGGAGAAAGATGGGGCTTTTACCTCCCATGAAGAGGTATAGTCTCAGAACCTCATAAGGCAGTCTTACAGGGTCCTGTCCTATAGGATCGCCATGAGTTGGAACCAAGTCGAGGGCAGTGGGAAGGCTCCACAGGAGAGACATCTGGAGATCTGCTTCTGTCGTTGTGTTTTGTACCAAGGTCCGTGGATGTCACAGATGGTTTGTGCTCACCTGCAAGTCTGCATCTGAACCCGCCCAGCAGCTCTGTAGAACACTTGGTGACCTGCTCCTGTAAAGATTACTCTACCGGGGCAGCTCCCAGTCAGAACTGTGTCTTCAAAACATCCAATTATAACCTATCTGCCCAAATGGCTCCCTTTCCACCTTTACAGGATGATCAGGATAAAAGGCAGAACCACTGATTCCCCTACTCAAAATCAACTCTACCACATCTAACAAGATCACCCAGGAGGATCGTCCTCTCATTTATAGCTAAATCTTTCGTTTCTGTAGCCCAACTCCTCACAGAGCACATGGGATTAGGTGCCGTCTCCTGTGATCTCCACTCTCGTTTTCCACAGCCTATACAAACGTCCCTGCTCCTTCTGTGCTCGTGCCAGGGGCCCAGCCTCTCCTGACAGTCAAGCCCCTGTGAGTGACAGTCCACTCTCACCCCCTCCTTCCTCGTCATCCGGGTGTCACCCAGCTGCAGTCCCTTCTGCGGATTCGCTGCCCAATCTTTGCCTCTGCTTCTTGGCAATTTTTCTTTATATTCATCTTTAAAAAAAAAATTTTATAATCTATATTGAACCATATGGGGGAACGGATATGCATTACAGCCAGTGCTCATTTATCAACTGTCTCACTGTCCCACATTTTAGATATCCACAATAGTGAAAACTCGACTTTCTGACTAGTCTGCATATTAACATACACCTGGCAGTAACCAACAGCAAGAGGCGAAACACGAGTAGGGGCGGCTGTGATGAGTATGTGTCAACGTGGCTGGGGTATGGCAGTTCCGTATTGATGTAATCTGGGCACCTATGTGATCTGCTGTGGTCATTCTTCACGTCCACATATCAATAATGTTTGCATGACAACATGGTCTTTGGAACTTACCCATGTTGGAAAGTGAGGAGTAGGCATAATCGCGATTTTCCTATTCACTATGCCCTCTCCCAAATCCTTCATGCCACACTTGCTAAATCTAAGGTCATTGGCCACTTCCCTCTTAGACATTCCTGCGGCATTTCAAATGACTGACCACGCCTCCTCTCGGTGCAACACTCCTGAGCCTTGGACTCCCCAATGCCACACACTCTCAGTGTCCATACCTGGCTGCTTCTGCTTCGTTTGGTAACATAAACTTTTCACGTTAGTAAAACTTAAGGGCAGACAAGTGTGCAAAGCATAAATGCCAGGGCTGGATGCATTTTTACAGACAGTATACCCCCAGCAGCAGCTAAGAGGCTGTGCTCACTTGCTTGTTTTCCTCTCAGGCTACCAAACCTCTCCTCTGTGGAGTGGCATCTATGACCATGGCTTCAACGTTCACCTAACACACAATAAAACTCAAACCCAGAGGCTGGCTTTTCTCTTAAGCTGGCGGACTTCACCGCCCACGAGTCTCAAGACACCCACGGAACAATCATGTTGCTCTAGCTGTTGTTGGGTCCATCAGGTTAACTCCAACTCATGGCAGCTCCGCAGGACAGAGCACAACTGCTCTACAGTGTGGGAAAGGGGCACTGAGGGAAATAGGACGAGGACTCTATTCCCTAACGTATCACAGAGGGAATCTGGAAAGCTGGTACTCCACAGTAGGAAAGCCTCCACTTTGCTAAGTTAGAGATAAAGTCCAAGTACACGATCCTGCTTTAAATATCATTCCCAAAGATTCTCCCTTAACAACTATGCTGACAAAGTGAGCATATGGCCGACTTTATCTCCCTACAGAAGCAGACATCCTGTTGCCCTCTCCCCACTGTGTCACCCAGCCCCCCTCACACCTTCCCCCAGTGCAGGTTATTAGGTGCCTGTGAGCTGTGACTTACTGTAAGTCCTTACACAAAGGACTGTGTCACTTGTAGATTCCACCCACCTTGTGACCTATGTAACTACTGGATATGCATGGTTCCATGGGCAACCTACAAATATCCCAAGACAGTCAAGGCCTTCTCTCTTCTTTCCCACTTCCATGTGGACCACCAAGAGGGGCTGAAGTGAGCATGCTACTATAAAACGTGTCTGCCCCCTTTATTTTATTCTCTCTCCTATTTTCTATGACTTTACTATGACCTTTACATATTATAACTGTACAACTGCACCTTCTGGCCCTTCGGTTGTTGGACTTAGGTTTCCTCTGACACTAAAGGCCATATTGTTGAGACCTTTTGGAAACAGATCACCTGCTTGTCTTCCAAGGAAGTTCTGAGTGGCTCACACTGCCCACCTTTTGGGTAGTAGTTGAGCGCCTGTTTGCTCCATCCCAGGACTCCTGGCGTATTCATGCACACATCTACCAGATAGATTCAGGAGGAATGAAATCATTAGAGAGTGATTCTGCAACCACTACTAGACGAGGGAGCATTAGCAGTCGCTCTCTGCTAAACCACGAGGGAAGACAGGAAACTTTACCATGAAGGGGTCCAGTTGATAAGACCTGCACCCACTGACTCTTCTTACAATCTACAGCAGGACAGGACATCACGGGCCTCCTGGTTCACAAGGTACAAAGGAACCAGCACCAACTGCGAGGTGCTCTTGCCAAAATATCAGCCAGGATCTGATCGGTCCCAGCCCCCGCACAAAGGACTTACTCAATGGACTCACAAAGGTAAAGTGAAGCTGGCCCACAAGACATGCAGAGTGCAGGGCCACTGATTACACCCGTTATGCTAGGCAGTCATCACTTTCTGGTGGTCACCATCCTTAAAATCTCAATGCCCTTAAGTGATTCAGTTCTGACCTATAGAGATTGGGGGTTTCTCCTCCCCTCAAAATCCATGCTATCAGCTCAAGAATGTTGCTATTTATAAACTCAATAGGACAGTTCAAAAATTATTCCGGGGTGGGGGTGGGGGTGGGG